TGGCGCGGTGTTCGCTCACCTGTAAGTTACTTTATGTTTTTTATGTATGTTTGTGTTCTGTCTGAATCTCTGGCGCGGTGTTGACTCACCCGTAAGTTGATTTATGTTTGTTTGTGTTCTGTTTATACTCTAATGCACTTACTCCAACTACAAAACGTACACTCACCTTAGACTCCTGTATTTTGTTAGATGCAGTGTTTTTCCTAATGCACTTCCAAAATGTCATGCCTGGTTTTCTCAAAGTACTGTTGCGGGAAGTAGCTCCTTTTAACTACTCCAGGTCAGGTCAGGATAATCGAGATCAATCTTGCTACTGGTATCACGTAACCCAGTACCACCTGCCACAAGCCCTGCTGCCTTGCAGAGTGTGCTCTTCTTATGCAAAGGCTAGGAGAAATAAACTCCGACTAAAAATTCCCCTGCCTTGGGGCTCTTGGTTGAGTAAAGGCTAGAGATGGTGTCTCGATAAAAACACTCATCTTGGGCAGATGTTAACTGCATCCAGCTAAACATCCCCTGCCTTGGGGCTCTTGGTTGAGTAAAGGCTAGAGATGGTGTCTCGATAAAAATACTCATCTTGGGCAGATGTTAACTGCATCCTGCTACTGTCTTGTAGAAGGCCTCCTAGGCAAAGACTTTAGGGGTAAGCAGAAAAATTCTGCTAACCAGCCTCGAACCCCTTCTTCATCTATTAGGCTGGCGTAGATGTAACCTGTGTTACATTGTTTCCTGCCTAGGATGATGAATGCTGGATCTCCTTGACTCTACTCATAGAATTTTGCTTATGCCTCCTTGATAATGGCTATGCAACTCTTCCTGTTATCTCCATATGAGGGTACAGCTCTAAAACTCAGTTTAATGGTTCTGAGGCCGGCTGGTAGTAAGGTTTCCCGAACTCTGTGGTAGCTCTCAGAGAGGCTAATTCCATCAACAGCTGCAAAATATCAGAGTATTAACAGTGCCATGTTGCGCATGGATGGTGTCCCTGTTAATGCTTTTGGTGTGCATTGCCAAGGCCACATAAGGAGCCCTATGTCACGGCTTAGGGTTAATTAACAGGACTGAGACAACTGCATAGCTCATTGATTAGGAGGCTGTGCTCTATCTATGAATGAGTCAAGTTCTCATTAAACCCAAATCATGACCAAAGTAACCAAAAATTTAAAACCTAAAAAACCATCCCCACCACCTAAATATTTTAATATATCTTTTACAAATATTCGCGGTCTACGAAGCAACTTTCCATCAGTTGAGTCTTACCTCCTGCAAAATTCACCAGACTTGCTTGCACTCAGTGAAACAAATTTAAGTTCTGCAATTCCTTCTTCGCATGTCGGTGTTGATGGGTACTATCCTTTGATTCGTAAAGACTCCAATAGTCACATGCTAGGTTTAGGGGTATACATACGCATTAATTCCCCTATTTGTCGTGAAATCAGGTTCGAATCCTTTGACCATTCTTTTATGTGCTTTCGCCTAGCACCTCTTCACTCTATCACCTTTCTCTTTGTTCTTTATCGTTCTCCTTCTTCCCATGATTGCACTCTTTTAGATGTTATCTCTGATCAAATTGACCATGCCCTCTCTCTTTACCCCTCTGCCAATATTGTTGTTGTTGGTGATTTTAATGCCCATCACACTGAATGGCTTGGCTCTAACACCACTGATCCTGCTGGCACTAAAGCCTTTAACTTCTGCGTTTCTCAATCTCTTACTCAGATAGTTAACTTTGTGACTCGTTTTCCTGACAACCCTAATCATTTACCTTCACTCCTTGACTTATGTCTTGTCTCTGACCCTAGCTTATGTTCAGTTTCTCCCTTTTCTCCCTTAGGTGGTTCTGACCATGCAATGATCTCTATAAATCTTTCTTCTCGTACTTCTTTTTTGGGCTCACCTTATCATCGCACCACCTACTACTACCCTAAAGCTGATTGGGATTCCTTTCGTGATTTTCTTCGTGATGGTCCTTGGGCTGATAATTTTTCTCTCTCAGCTGACAAATGCGCCTCCTACGTAACCTCCTGGATTCAGGCTGGAATGGAAGCTTTTATTCCTTCTCGTAGGTTTCAAGTCAAGCCTCACTCTACTCCATGGTTTTCTCCTTCTTGTGCGGCTGCTATATCCAATCGTAACCATTTTTTTCATCTTTTTCAAAAGAATAACTCTCTTGAGAACAAACGGCTATTTATTATTGCAAGAAATCGATGTAAAAAGGTGCTTTCTGATGCTAAACTCCATTATTCTCAGTTCACTAAATCTCGCATCTTATCGCAGAAGTTAGACTCTAAAGACTTTTGAAAAATCTTCAACAACATTATTAACAAGGGTAGATCTAACATTCCATCTCTCATTCATGAGACTGATCTTATCACCTCTCCCAAGGATAAGGCAAAACTGTTTGCAAAGAACTTTTCTTCTAATTCCACTCTTGAATCTTATGGGCATTCTCTTCCTTCCGTTCCAGTCAAACAGGTTGACCCATTGTTAGACATTCAAATCACTCCAGCTTCTGTTGCTAAAGTCATATCCCAATTAAACTCGTCTACAGCTTGTGGTCCAGACAACATTCCTGTCACAGTCTTGCAGAATTGTTCTCCAGAACCTTCTTCAATTCTCTCTAAACTATTTAACAAGTGTTTGACTGAGTCTTGTTTTCCTGCTTGTTGGAAAATGGCATCTGTGGTTCCAATATTCAAAAACTCTGGAGAAAATTCTGACCCCTCCAATTATCGTCCGATCAGTCTTCTTTCTGTTATTAGCAAGGTCTTTGAGTCTTTGATCAACAAATTCCTCACATCTCATCTTGAGTCAAATAAACTGCTGTCAGACAATCAATACGGTTTTCGATCCTCTCGCTCTACGGCCGACTAGCTAACTGCTGTAACTGAAAGATTTTATCGTGCATTAGATGGAGGCGGTGAGGCTAGGGCTATTGCTCTCGACATATCTAAAGCTTTCGACAAAGTTTGGCATGCTGGTCTTCTCCATAAGCTTGCTTCATATGGTGTTTCTGGGAAAGTATTTGAGATTATCAAATCATTTCTTTCTGACCGGTTTATTAAAATCCTTGAAGGCCAACACTCTTCTTTATTTCCAGTAACATCTGGGGTTCCCCAAGGTTCCATCCTGGGCCCTGTTTTGTTTCTTATCTACATAAACGATCTTCCTGACAACCTTTCATCTAAAGTAGCTCTTTTTGCTGATGACTCAACTTTATACTCCTGTCTTGACAAAAAGTCTTCTCTTTTCGATCGCCTAGAACAAGCAGCTGATCTTGAATCTGATCTCACTTCAATGGTAGATTGGGGCTCACAGTGGCTTGTGAGTTTCAACTCTAAAAAAACCCAATTGCTTACTGCAAACAACTACCGTAATATGGTCAACATTCCTATATTAATGAATGGCAATCCTCTCACTGAGTCGTCCTCTTTACGTCTTCTTGGATTATCGCTTACTACTGACCTTTCATGGAAACCATATATACAATCGATTGCTAAATTAGCTTCTACTAAGGTTGCTTCTCTTTATCGTGCTCGCCATTTCCTTACTTCTGATTTCATTCTCTACCTCTACAAATCTCTTATTCGTCCCTGTATGGAATACTGTTGTCATATTTGGGCTGGTTTTTCTAACGATTCACTTTCTCTTCTTGACAAGGTCCAAAAACGCATTGTAAATGTTGTTGGACCTGGACTATCTGCTAAGCTTGAACCTCTTTCCCATCGTCGTAAAGTTGCATCTCTTTCTCTTTTCTACAGATACTATCATGGTCACTGCTCAAAGGAGTTATCATCTTTAGTTCCATCAACTAAAATTCATTCTCGTTTTACTCGTCATTCAGCTAAGTCTCATTCGTTTACTGTATCTGTCCCTGCATGCTCTAAAAACTTTTATTCATCTAGTTTTTTTCCCCGCACTTCAATCCTTTGGAACTCTCTCCCATCTTCATGTTTTCCTGACTCATAGAACCTTCAACTTTTCAAGTCTTCTGTCAACCGTTTCCTTGCTCTATAACTCTGTTCTTTTTTTTTTCCTAGTAACTCCCAACTTAATAGTGGTTGCTTGCAGCCTTGTTGGGAGTGAATGCAAATAAAAAAAAAAAAAAAAAAAATGGAAAGATTATTAAAAGACCAGGAAAAATCATCAACCTCAAATATTAGTGCAAATGTCAAAATTATTACAGATAGATTAGACATGCTAGAGAAAGACATTAATAACAACAAATGTAAAATATCAAATATAGTAAAAAAACTTATATCACATAAAGTACAGCCTAAATTTTTAAGAAAATGATCTCAGAAAAAATATCACAGATAAAGAAATACTATGACAAAGAAATCAATTTATTACATAAAAAATCTATAGATCTTGAAAATCGATCAAGAAGAAACAACTTAAGAATTTATGGAATACAAGAAACACCCGGCGAAAGTTGGGAAGATTGCGAAAAAGGTGAAATTTTCCAAACACTATTGAAAATACCAAGAGAAGTGGTGGTAGAACGAGCTCATCGAATTGGACAATTTAAAGATAACAAACCAAGAACATTTGTCTTAAAACTTTTAAATTACCAAGACAAAAACAAAATTCTCAGTAAATCAACTTTAGGGAACTGGCCTATACATAAGAGAAGACTTCGCTCAATAAACAATATATCATCGAAGGAAGCTATGGGAAGTAGTTATAAAACTAAGAAGCGAAAGTAAATACGCCATTTTAATATACGATAGAATATTTACACGAGATTCAAAAAATTAGCGCTACTAATTTTTATTTTTTTACTAAGTAAACGCTTTTTCAATTTTAAGTGTTTTAGCGACATTTCTTGATGTTAAAATAAATTGTAAAACATCAAAACAGCATCGTATTAACTAATTTTTCTTTTTTGTGATATTTCGATCTAATTTGTATAGATCATTATCAGACATAAATACAATTTAAAAAACCATTACAATTTAAAATTTAAAAATCATAAAAAAGGTATTACAAAGACGACGTCAGCAAAAATTGTTTTGTTTTTTTACGATTTTCTTAAATAGTGGTCTCCAACTATTTGAAGCAACTTTTACCCCGTTATCCCTGTTAAACAGTGCTAGGAATTTTTTAACCTCCTGAGATGTTTGTGCATAGTTAATTTCAAGCGATTCTCTTATTTTCCTTTCATGGTAATTGTTATTTATAGATAAAGTTTTTGGGTGCAGCCAGTCGAATATCCCATAACATTCTTTGCAATGCTCAGTAGCAGCAGAAGCATGCCAATTGTCATTCATGCTATTAATTTGGTGTTTTATGCTTCTTTGCAAAATTCTCTTTTTTGTTTCCCTAATATAGCTTCCCCCACACAAACACGTAAGCTTGTACACCCCAGGATTGCTGTTTGGAATTAAACTAGATTTGTTACTACAGAGAATTGTTTTTAAATTAGATGGTGTTGTAAAAATAACTTTGACATTATATGTTCTAAATGCTTTTTGTAGTTTTGGTCCAAGTGTTGGTAGCCAAGATAGCTTTATTATCGCAACATTATTTTCTAGTTTTTTTGCAACTTTACTGTTTGGATTGTTTTTACTTGACAGGTAATTCACGGCAATCGTTTCTAGATTTGATCTCTTATGGCCGTTTTCAACAAATATATCTATTATAAACTGAACCTCGTTGTTAATGTGTTTTTCGGAACAGATTTTGGTGGCTTGTGATATGAAACCTTTAAAAACTCCAGTAATAATTGCAGGGTTGATATTTGAGTCGGGTTTTATTTGTATGTTTGTTATTATTTCTTTAATGTAGACTTTGAAGTTATAATAGTAATTATTTGTGTTAGTTATTTTTATATCTAAAAAATTTAGTTCTCTCTGATTATTTTCAACCTCTGACGTGTACTGAATATTGGAGTCTTGTTGATTTAATAAAATAAAAAAATTGTTATGCTTTTCAACTGATTCAAATCTGGCATGGCTATCATCAACATACCTTCTATAAGATTTTGGTGAAAAATTGTTAATTTTCGCAATATGTAGAACTCTTGTTTCCAATTTTTGTAAGAATGCAAATGATTCAATCGGTGTTAATATCTCCACAAACGGTAATTTTTTATAAGAAGGTGCAAAATTAGGACCCAAATTTAAAAGTTCATTAGTGGAAACGTCTATTTGAATTTGAGTGAGCATTTTTCTTTTAAATGATTCTTTTTAATTTCGAAATAATGGTTTTTTGATTCTTCAGTTAAATTTTCAATAATTTTGTAATGATTAGGTGTCAATAAACTTTTTAAATCTAAATTAATGTTTTTAATAAACTCCTTACTTGCAAAAAGCCGATATTTTGCTTCGTTTCGTGCACATATTAATAACTTTTTTGATATTCCAGAGTAATATTTTCAGCTTTTATTGATTTAATTAGAGATCGAACTTTAAAAGATGATGGAATAATATTATTAAAAAGGCATCTCTGTAAGAATATAAACTGGTTTTTCGAAAATGCGTATTTAATTTTTTGCTCTTGTAGTTTTTTTGTTGTATCATAAACCTCCTTGCTGTAAGAAGTAGCAATTAAGTATCTTAGCGATATTAAGTACGATAATTTTTTGTTAAAATAAGTTGTAAAACATCTTTATAGGTAGAAATGGCGTAAAAAATGTTGCATTACTCTGGTTTAAAAACCTTTTGCTAAACAGACAGCAATGTGTTAATACTGATGAAAATATCCGTTCAAAAATGCTAAAGATTAAATGAGGCGTTCCCCAAGGTTTCATTCTAGCTCCCTTACTGTTTTTAATATACATTAATGATCTCCCAAAAGCCTCAAACAAACTTAATGTCATAATATTTGCAGATGATACTAATTTATTCTATTCATCCTCGTCAATTACAGAACTTTTTGAAACAACGAGTATTGAACTTGAAAATTTAATATTTGGCTAAATTCTAATAAAATATCTTTAAACACAGGAAAAACTAGTTAAATCTTAATCCATCCCAATAAAAAAAGAAAAAAACTACCAAATATATTGCCATTGTTAAAAATAGAAAACAAAAATATAGAAAGAACCACAATAACTACATTTCTAGGTTTGCTTACTGATGAAAATATTTCATGGAAAGCACATATTGACTATTTAAATACTAAAATAACCAAAAATATTAGCGTGCTATACGAAGCTAGACCAATGTTATCCCAAGAAAATCTAAAATATCTAATGTAGCATGGCAAGTAATATAGCATGGGCAAGTAAATCCAATTGAAATCACTTTATTGACATCATCCATAAATCCAATTTGAAATCAATTTATTGGCATCAAAAACATGTTGTTAGAATTGTCTATAAAAAAGATAAACTCACTCCTGCTGAACCTTTGTTAAAACTCCTTAATGCACTAAACGTCTACAGAATTAATATTTACCAAAATTTATTGTTCATGCTAAAACACAAACTCGGGCTTGTCCCACCACATTTCTTAAATAAATTCTTTAAAAGCAATAGAAATAGATATGACACTAGAGAAGTAGGAAGCTTTAATATACCGTTCAGAAAAACAAAACTATCGCGTTTTACAATTTCATATCGCGGTCCCTTTTTTTTCAAATAAACTGATATCCAAAATCCCATAATTACAAGATTAGTTTACAAAAATTGTTTGAAAATCTTACTAAAAAAATTGATTCTAAATATAAACAATTATTTGAACTTAAACTAAACTAGAACCAAAATTACCGTTTAAAACAAAACCCCAAAAAACCTCAATAATATATATTAATATAAAAAGATCATTATAAATCAATAATAATTAAATTTATGCCTAATAATATATTTATGTGTATTATGTGTACTACAAACAGCATCTATCAACTTTCAAGAAAATAATTCAGGATATGGAGGACTTTAGAAATTGACTTTTGTGCTCCCCCCACTTCAAAACCCGTGTTGGCGGCTATGCGGTAATGTTTCAAGAGCAAATTAAAAAATGTAGACAGTCTTGCATTAGTAATTCCGATATAGCTGTTTCATTTAATTGATACATTTAGGAAGTTTCATTTACTAAATTTAAAAGATTGTACAAAAATATTTATATAATTTTTTAATTTTCCCTATTTGGGGTTGTTGCCCCGAAAGCGTTGTATTTTTTATGTTTCCAAATTATATATATATATTTTTTGGCATAACACCATTATTTGATATAATTATTAGTATGTAAAAATTTAGGATTTGCAGCGTTTTTTGAAGTTTTTTTACTTAAACATGATAATGTCCGCCCTCTTTAAATGCCTTTAAGTTGTTAATTTTGTAAAGGTGCAGAGTTGCTTAGTATAAAATGTATTGCTATTGTAAGTTTTTGCATCACAAATACTAAAGATATTATGAAAAATTCGCAAAGTAACCTTTTTTTTGCACCTGGTAATTAATATACCAAGGGTCCATTCTTGCTCCTCTTTTGTTTCTTATTTACATGAACGATCTCCCAAATGCCTCTAATATTTTCAAAACTATAATGTTTGCCGATGATACAAACTTATTTTACTCATCAAAGACTATTGAAGACTTATTTAAAAAAACAAATAATGAATTAAAAAAAGTTATATGGTTTATAATAAAATATAATAATATATGGTTTAAATCAAACAAACTATCACTCAATATAGATAAAACTAAATATATTCTATTCCAGTCTACTCAACAAGTTAAAATGCTTCCCCTTAACCTACCAACAATTACTATAGAAAATATAACCATCGAAAGAGCTCAAAATACAAAGTTTTTAGGTGTTCTAATTGATGAACACATCTCTTGGAAGCCCCACATCAACTATATAAATACAAAAATATCAAAGAACATAGGTTAACTTTATAAGGCAAGATCTTTCTTGACACAAAAAAGTCTAATACTCGTTTATTTTTCATTCATACATAGCTATCTTATGTATGCCAATATAGCATAGGGCAGTACCCACATAACTAAATTAAAACCGCTTTATCTGCGTCAAAAGTACGCTTCAAGACTAGTGTTCAACAAACTTACTCATGCTCAACTCCTACTGGAGCAAATGAACGCTTTAAATATTTTTCAAATTAATATTTATCAAAATATACTTTTCATGCTTAAATATAAACTAAGTCTGGTTCCAGAACATTTTACAGCACACTTTTTTTAAAACAGCGTAAACAAATACAATACAAGAGCAACGGGAAACTTTAAGATACCCTTTGAAAAAACTAAACTCTTAAAATTTTCAAAAAAATATCGTGGTCCCTATTTATTTAAAAAAATAATTTCTGGAAACGAATCGCTAATAAATTTAAACAACGAACAGTCTCTGAAAACAAAGTTAAAATCTACAATAATCAAGTTAAACAACTACAAGGAGTTTTTTTAAACTCCAATGTATATATATATTGAAACAAGCGAATACGGATTTTTTGGTCAAATTCTACTCTCAAATAACATAAAGAGCGCTTGAATTGAAGTGGTTTTTGCTATAGCTAATAGAAATTTGTTTATATTTTAATAATTGGTATAAACCTGAAACTCAGTCAAAAGTGAAATGACATTATTTTTTTAAAATACAATGTTCTCATGTTTGAAAAAAAAAATATTTTAAATATCTCGATTTTAAAGATTTTTTAATAAATTGGCTTTTTTTAAGATACAAATGTTCTGATTGGTGATTCTTTTAATTGAATCAGATTTACCTAATAACGTGTCTCGTAAAAATGTTGTTTCAAATTAAAAAAAAAATTATTTTAAATTTTGTGACGATATACTTTTCAAACCTATTCTCCCCCCTGCCACTGAACGTCACAAAATTCTGCGCTCCTTATCCAACCTTTCTCTGCAACTTTTTTTTATCAAAATTTGTTTAATTAATTCTAAATTTTTATAAAATTTAGAATTAATTAAAATAAACAAGTATTATTGCAAGTCCAGCATTTTTTGGTCTTCAAGATGTCTAACTTCCAGACATGAAGCAAACTCCAAACATTTATATGTTTATACTTATGTCAAATAAAGATGCTTTGGAAAAAGTTGCGATGATTGGAGCTTGGGAACAAAAAAGCCCCAAAATTTGTGCTCTCCTGCCCCAAATGTGAGAGCAACAAATTGATGAAATAATTTTAGTACTATTTTAAACTAGACTTACATTTATCGATAAATTTTAAATTTCATGGTAAAATATTTCAGCGTTCAAAAGATATAACAATATAAAATTTGAAACCCCCTCAATTTGAGGGTTTAAACTTTATATGGTCAAAATTTTTGAATTCTAAAATATTTATCTAAAAAACGAGTATATTTTAGTATCAACAAGGCATCGATTGTCTTAGATAAAAAAGAAAGTAATGGGTTCCAAATTCGTCAACGCTTAAAGTTTTGTTTTATTAAAGCAATAAAAGCTAAAAGTTCTTTTTAAAAATTTAAAAAGATATTTAAAAAAAAAAAAAAATACACAGTGTTAAAAAGATCACAGAGAAAAACTTTTTATAAGATTTATTTGAACTTCAACATTAAACATTTTGATCTTTGATAATAATAGTAAAACTTATTATTGAATAATAAAAATAATTACAATAACAATTATAATAATGATAATGACATTAGTATTAATAATAATAACAAAAATAACATCAATAATAATAGCAAAAATAATAGCAAAAACTCCTCCCATTCTTCCTTCCACCAGAAAGTTTTCTTAAATAAATCTTTCCTAATTAAACCAACTCCCAACAAATAATCCTTCTACATCCCTCCCAATCCTTTAGCTGACATTAAATAAAATAATGCTAACGAATATTTAATTGTTTTAAATATGTTCAAAACTTTTTAACTATAATTTTCACCTCATTATAATTTTTAATCATTTCCTCGTGTAGCCTTTTTAATACTAATAAATCCATTTACGTCTCGCAACGCACAATTTTTGTTTTAACAATTACGGCGACAGTTTCAATATCGTTTTAACACTACAGTCGTTTTAATTTTAATAAAGGAGACCTTAGGGATAAAAAAAAATTACTATAGCCAGTCCAGTTATTTAATAGGCATCAGTGGATGCTAATTAAATAGAAATGAATTAATTAAATTGCATGTGCTTCCTGTAATGTCAAAGTAGTTTCAATTTATGATCAATAAAGTAGTTTCAATTTATGATCAATAAAGTAGTTTCAATCTATGATCAATAATAAATTATGTTTAGTAATAATCTCAATAACTTATTGATTCAAATTAATTTTAACACAAAAAACAACTTAGTCGAAATAAGCTTAGCATTTAGAGAATTTAACATCTTAAATTGATACGAGTTTTATTTAAATGTTGTCGTAACAACCTTGTTGTACAAAATTTATTTAAATGTTGTCGTAACAACCTAAATAACTAAATATAAATTTATATTTAATGTAAATAATTAAATGTTGTCGTAACAACCTAAATAACTAAATATAAATTTATATTTAATGTAAATAATTAAATGTTGTCGTAACAACATTGTTTTAACTCTCTAAACCGTAAATAAATAACAACAAATAAATAACAACAAATAAATAACAACAAATAAATAACAACAAATAAATAACAACAAATAAATAACAACAAATAAATAATAAGAAATAAATAACAACATTATTTCTTTGACTATAAAATAAAGACAACGTAATTTTTTTCGTTAAAACGATCTTTAAAATGTCTTTCTATACCGTAAATAGCAACCATATTTTAATCAATTTTTAAAACATTTAATACATGTTATTACTCCATTTTTTTATTCAGTTAGACATGTTGATAAATATTATATTTAACTTTAAAAACATTTTTTCTAATATTATATAAGATTACACGCGGTAATTTTTTTTACTTTGTTAAAGAATTTCGAAAATGATCTATGTTTTATGCAAATAAAAATTTATATGCATATCTTATTTTCTATAACCCCTACGATTTTCTTAATACCCTATACCGTTTCTAACATTTTCAACATTTTTAACATTTAACATCTATTTTAACTATTTCAACTATAAAAATTCACTTTTCGAATTTATACATCTAGTGTATATAATACCCTGTAGTACCAATTGAAGTGCGAAGTTTGTTTAAACTTGTCATGTTAACAGGCATGCGCTTTTTTTATAGTTCCCGCATTTATTTGTATTGTTTGAAAAGATTCCTATTATTTATTAAATTATTTGTGTGTTTATTCGTAGATTTTTTCATAATGGATAGTATGGAAGGAAAGGGGTGTGCAGTTATAGCATTATTAGACGGGAAGAGAAAACCGTATCAGATTTTTAAAATGCTGCAGCATAAAAGAATATCAAAGGATTTTGTCTATCGTACTATTAAGCGATATAATGATAGTGGTTCTGTCAAAAAACATTATGCCCTCAAGCGATCACTTCTCAGAGAATGGGATGCTTTATCCATGGATACCGTGCGTAAATCAATCGAGGAATGGCGTCCAAGACTGGAGGCGTGCATACGGGCAAAAGGGGGTTATTTCGAGGACTCTTTTTATTAATGTGTACTTTAGCATTTTAACTAAAACATAACATGCATATAATATGTATATATTACATTTGTTCTTGCATTAAAAACATTTTCTCTTAAATTTTTTACTGAATTAAAATTTCGCACTTCAATTGGTACCACTAGGTATATCATTGATTATGTCTCCCATGTTTGCTTTTTTCTATTTTTATTAAGTCAGATAGTAAATGTGATGTTTAACAATTATACAGGTGTAAAACACCAAAACTACTAAATAAAACTTAATTTTAATAAACATATCTTCTGCAACAGAACATGTTCTGCAACACAACAGACTTCTGTTGAGCACTGTTACAAACAAAACAAAAAAATTTAATTTCAAATCAAACAACAAAATTTAACTATCTTTTAAAGACATTTATAAAGATTTTTGCAAATTTCAAACTTTAACAGATTTTGTTAGAAAATCTTTGTTTAATTTGAGTGTATATAGTTTGAAATTTTATTAGTTTTAAAGCAAGAATAATATTTAGAAAAAAAAAACCGGTGAACTGGTTTCAAAATGTCATTTTAATATCTCTATTTGTCTATTTTGAAAAAAATATAACTGAGAAATATTTCCGTTATCATTTCTGTTCATTATAATTATATACAAAAATATTTTCCTGAAAAAACTATTTATTTATATAGAGCAATAAAATTAGAGTTATGAAATATATACAAAAGTCTTTTGCTAAAATTCTTTATCTTTATGGCGAATTACGTTTTTTAATTTAATTTAAGAGTATGTGTAAAGGTCGTCGTATTCTATTGATTTATTAATAGGGTATAAATTTGACGAAATTGGTAAATAGCGCGAAGATTCATCCAAAAAATGATAATTTACTGCTGAATGAGGAAATTGGTTTCGAGCTGTCTCTTCGATTTCCGCTTCTTTGCTTCTTTTTTGTTTTGCTCTTCGATTTTGAAACCAGATTTTTATTTGAGTTTCTGTGAGCCGTAGCATGACACTTAACTCTGATCTTTCAGATATAGATAAATATTGCTTACGTTTAAATTTCTGTTCGAGAGCAAGAAGCTGATTCACAGAAAATGGCGTCCTCGGCTTTCGATTTGCTTTGTGTTTGCGAAGAATGCATTTACTCAAATCAAATTGAAATTCTAAAATTAGAAAAAAAAAGTATTTCTTCACCGAAGTATTTTAATTAACTATAATTAATTAGGATAAGAGTGTAATAGTTGTATAAACATAAACGAACAATTATATGTCTAAAAGATTTAAAACTTATTAAATTCGACTAAAGAAATTATTTTTATAACTTGGACTTACGTTGAGAAAGCAAGTTTTAACATCAAAGAATCACCTCTAAGATTTATAAATATTGAATTCGATAAAAGACTATTTAATTTTCTTTTTAAATATATTATAATATTTATGCAATAATTACATTGGTATTGTTGCGCAATTATATTAATAATTTTGTTGCTTTATCAGAGTCTGTTTTTAATTATTTTTTTTAATACATTATAGTTTTAATTAAATGTTAATTTGAGTTTTTGATGTTTTATAGATGATATTGGCTGATAGATTTGCAAAAAGAATTAATTGTTATTGTATACAAATATAACCGCATAATGCATATATTTAGAGAATTAATCGCAGACTACTATTATTGTGATTAATTGAGAAAAGGGAGGAGTGAATAAGATTTATAATTACGACAGTTTCCTATGCGCCTAATAAATGTATTATGTAAGGGGAGTGTAAAGCAAGTTACATATTGTCAATCTTTCATTAAGGATTTATAAAGTGACTCCATAAGTTAAAATCAAAATTTAGAGACTTTTCTCTTTATTTCCTGTTTCCGCGTAAATCTAATATTATATATATATATATATATATATATATATATATATATATATATATATATATATATATATATATATATATATATATATATATATATATATATATATATACTTTTATTATTATGTTAGGACTAAAAAGGCATTTCGTAGCTTCAAGTTTTTTAGAGCTTCAATTTTTGAATAATTTGTTTCAAAAAAATAACATAATTGCGACGTAAGTCATGACAAAAAAATGATTTTCTATATTTTTTTTTTAATTATTTTTTAAAAACAGTTTTAAAAGAAAAATTAAATTTCGTGATTTGCAAAAATTTAATTAAAAATTTGATATAAAAAAAATCGTGATACTTCACTATAAAAATAAAATAAAAATGTTACTGATTTTATTGGCTATAAAAATAAAATCAATTAAATTTAAAAAATATTTTTTTTGTTGTTGTTATTTTTATTGAAAAAAATAAAAGAAAAAAATTACAAATATTCATATTTAAACGATGTTTATTTAGTTGTGATATTTACATACTTTTTTATTATTACATACTTATATTGTTTTAAAGTTATATTAAGTGCTATTAAAAAGCAGGAAACAGATTTTTTTAAAAAAAAAATATTTCTTACCAACTGCTTCAAATCGTTGATTAGAACTATTTGATGATAACGAAGATGTCGTCGAGGAGGATAACGGAGATAAAGATGATGGCGATGAAGGTAATGAGGACAAAAGAGAACGTATTTTGCAGTTTTGATTGTTTTTTTCTATTTCAAAGCTAGTAGGAGATAGATTGAGACGATTGAAGGTTGAATGATTGTAAGACTTAATTTCATTTTCGTTAGATCGTTTGCCGCCTAAAACATTATATTTTGTCTTGTTGACATTGTATTGTTGAAAAGCCTGATCATGACATTGTTGATCATTTAATCTATTCCAAAACTGCAGAGATTTGTTTGAAACTGAATTATCCATATTAAGTTTATTATTTTTATAATTAAGCAAATAATCAATAGAAAAAGGTGTTGAGTGTTTTTTTTCAAATCTCTCTACAATCATTTTTGACAACTCTAATAACAAAATAACAAAATCATTAAATTATAAACTAGAAAATCTAAAACACAGTGTATATATATATATATATATATTATTATTATTATTATTATTATTATTATTATTATTATTATTATTATTATGTACAAAAATATATATACAACAGAAAATTGATAAAATGGTAACGCGTTTGCTATAAACATACTTAATGTTAATGTATTAAAACTTACCTTTTTGCAACGAGGATCAATCTCAAATGAGAATAAAGATAATTTTTCTTTATTTAAGCTAGATATAATCGCAAATATTAATTAACGTACAATAACTATAGACGAGACGTTTTTAATAGTTAATTATATTAGTCAATATTTATAAGAGCTTTTTTGTGTATTTATTATCTTTTCTTTTATTACACATTTTTAATTGAATAAACCGTTAGCAATAATTTTCCTTCCTGGACATATATAAGAGATGTATCAACATAATATAAGTAAGAGACGTGAAACTAGATAAGAATTTGGTGGCGCTCTTAAGGAGTCAAGCGACGTAAAATGATTTTAGATAGGATCTTCTCGTATTATAGTTTGTATTGAATATTTTAATGTTCGTATTAAAACTTTCTACTTATGTGTTTAATAGAAACTAATTTTTTTTAATAAACTAATGAAGTTTAAACTAAAAATTAAAAGAACATTTTTAAAACCACAAAAGTATTTTTTAATGATCCTACACAAAAGGGGAGGAGGTTTTTTGACATAATACAATACACTTCAGTCACGGTGAAAAAAATGATTATAAAAAAAATTGCTAAAAATTGTTTAAGATCATTAAAATACGTTTCATGACTCAAGTAGGCCTCCAAACTACTCCAAACGTGGTTCACATTTTCTATCTATTTGAAGAATTATAAAAAGGGAGTTACAAATATTAAACTACCAAGAATAACACTTTTTGTTTAAACATCCGCAACATCATCCGCAACATCATAGCTTTTTAGAAACCTTTTAAAGATAATTTATACCAGCTTTGTACTTAGCTATATTTTTTTTATTAGAAGCAAAAACAATGGTTTTTATATGAATTCTATTTTACAGTGAAAGGTAATACAACCAAAGCGACTTTCAGTGAATTTTATTAAATTGTATTATTATTCTACCGTAATTTACAACTTTACTCCATTTATATTGTTTCATTTGTTCAAATAGCTAAAAGTTTAAATGCTTAAAAAGAATTTATACGGGAAACAAATTAATTCTCCCCACCCACCCACCCACATCCCTACCCACCCACATTCCCACCCCCCACCCCCACCACGCAATTTTTTAATACCTATGTAGATATAGTAAAATTCTTATGTTGCCGTACTTTCTATAGTAAAATTCTTTCTATAAAAGTCAATTAAAATGTTATAAACTTGACATATTTAGTTTTTTTTAAAAGAAAAAACTCTTGACTGTCTTTTCTTCGGAAAATTTGAGCAAAGGCTATATGACTTGTCAGACTTAAATCAAAGGCTATATGACTTGTTAGACTTAAATCAAAAGCTATATGGCCTGTCAGACTTAAATCAAAGACTATTTGAATTGTCAGACTTAAATCAAAGTCTATATGACTTGTCAGACTTGAATCAAAGGCTACATGACCTGTCAGAATAATAAGGCTTACTTAAATTTTGAAAACAAAGTTTCTACAATTTTTTGTAATTCTAAAAGAAAGCTTAAATTTATTATTAAGTATAAATATAATAAAGTGTTATTTATATGTAAAATATGTAAAATTATTTAAGTTTTAATTTAAATAAATTAAATTGAAAAATGGCCACCAATGCTTTTAAAGCAGCAGATTTAAACACTACTCTCATGAGATTTAGATTTAAAAGTTACTCTCATGAGAAGTTATCAAAACAATATCGCTTATGGAAGCTGTACTTGTTGCGCTGGTGAATAGGAAACGATCTAGTGAAATAAGAGAAAAAGCTCTAAAGGACAAAATTGATTTTTTGATCAAAACAAGTTAAAATAAAATCATCAGCCATTGTTTTTATCTTTGCTTAGGGACAAAACTGACGAGAGAAAACATTAATGGCAGCAATTAAGTACTTTAATAGCTGTCTGAATTAAAAATATTTGAAGTTGTGAGATAAAAATTATTGTTGTTGGTTGTGAGATAAAAATTATTATTGTAGTTGTGAGATAAAAATTATTGTTGATAAAAATTATTTAACATGCCTAGTGACAATAAAATGCTTATTAAGAATTTTTTTTTTTAGCAACTGGAATTGATTGGAAGATGCTTTTGGTATCGTACGTGTTTCCTGCCTCAAAACGAGCAAAAACAATTCATAGTTTCATTATCTAATCTTTCATCTTAAAATAAAATACTCAAAACACGCACATCAGGAACCTCTCTGCCAACTAGACATCCTAGATCAAAAATTAAAGCAAAAATAAAACCATCTCAACGCTTCAACCATTCCACCTAGCTAATTAAGTTACTGGGTAAACAACCCATGCTCACTCAACAATGACTAACTAAGAGCTTTTGGACAGACTATCAGCTCTGCCTAAATCCAGTAGGCCACACGTAATATTTTTCGCGGAAACTTGGTTCAAAGATTTATCAGAAGTTGCCATTCCTGGCTACCAACCAAATCGCAAAGACAAAGAAAATAGAGGCGGCGGAGTTGCCATTTACACAAAAGATGATATTATAGTCGACAAAGTTTATGCTACTCAGCTCAATTCGATATCAATTGAGAAAAAATGAAAAAAATAAAACTTGATCATTATGTCGTCTACACGACCTTAATGATCAAGTTTTTACTCTGAGTAACGCATCGAAAACGTCGGTTCCGCAGATAATGCTTAATTTAAACTGCTCAGCAATGCTGCTATACGGCAATTTCAATTTTAGCCATTCATCTTATGAGTTTATTAAAGTTAACAGTGGCATTGCAATTCCTGCTTACATGAGAAATGAGCGACATGGCAATATCAGGTTGCAGAAGTGCCTTGTTAAATGTCACATAACTCAGCTTGTCGCTTCCCAACGCGATGTAGTAGTTGACATGTTGAGCCCAGTAGCACAGTTGATCTGATCATAACAAATGAGCCAGACCGTGCTATCTTTTATCGAACAAGGTGATTCTCTCGGCGATAATCAAATAGGCTGTTACTAAAATGGTGAACTCTGCCAGGCACAACTACCAAGAGAAACTCACCAAAGAGTTAAAACGAAACCTTAAATTCTTAGATACAAATGTACAAAGCAAACAGAGCGTCAGCAACACTACTACATGGCTCGAAACAGCTAATAGAACTACTAATATCGGTACTAAATGCTCATCGTTGAATAACTATTTTCAATCGGCTTTTGTTTTAGAGCCCGAAGGTCCAATGCCAACCTTTGAAAGTCTTACTGAAGCAATTTGTGTCATCAACCTAAAAAGTTTTTTTTTTTTTTATTGATTTAGTACAAAAGTGCCTCAATCACCTTGATGAAAAAAAATCAACCGGCTACAACGGCTTACATCCACGGGTCCTTAGTAAATGTACAGCTACCTTCGCTAATCCTTTTTCGCTTCTCTACAAGTGCTCATTCGCGACTGGTGTAGTTCCCGAATTATGGAGAAAATTAAATGTAACTTTTAATTTCAAGAATTAAAACGTCCATCAAGTTACCGATCTATCTTGCTCACATCTATTCCATGCAAAGTATGGAAAGTATTTTTTCAAACAAGCATAATGGAACACTGTGTTGCTAATTGCTTAATTATTCCAAAGCAGCATAGCTTTGTTCATAGCAAGAGTTGTGTCTCAAACCTGTTAGAAACTTGGAACATCATGACGTAAGCAGTTAATTGCAGCCACGCAGCAGACGCCATATTCATAGACTTTGAAAAGACGTTTGACAAAGTGCCGCATACTTACGGTATTTACGGCACACTCGTAGACTGGATCTCAGCTTGGTTGCGCAACCAAAGTTAATTGTTCATCAACGACATCGTATCTAAATGGCAAGTAAAATTATTGCATCATCATGTCATGCATCATATTACATTATCATAATTATTATTATATATATTATTATTATATAAACTTTTATTTTGCTGATAACTGTTTAGTTACAATTACAATTTTCATATAATCATCAATCAAGTTATATTTGGATAGTTTAAATAGCTGTGAATAAATGAGTAATGTTAATACTTTTTTGTTTAGATGCTAAATAAATTTCTATAAAACTCCGTTATTTTAAAGCCAATATAGCCCATATGTAGTTTTCTATGTAATCTTCTCGTTGAGAACCACTCCAGAAAAGTTTGTAACATAATTCCTTTTTATTTCAATTTTATAAAAAAATATTTTGTAAAATGCTTAGACCCTAAGTATCAATAAAACCTAATAAAAACATTTGTCCAACAACATCTGAAATTTCATTGGTGTCTAATAACATCTGTCCAAAATTTAAATAAATATTACAGATATATTTACATATTTTAATTAATCAATGTGTAATAACATCTGTGTAACTACGTCTGTAGATTAACAGAGATGAAGTTATTTTTAAGATGAATTAACTAGTAACGGCAGCCATTTAGATACAGCATCGTATCTAAATGGCAAGTAAAATTATTGCATCATCATGTCATGCATCATATTACATTATCATAATTATTATTATTATATATTATTATTATATAAACTTTTATTTTGTTGGTTAAACAGTTACAATTACAATTTTCATATAATCATCTAAAAAATACATAGCAGCGTAAACAAAAACATGATAAATAACGTTTTTTATAATTTTTTATTTTTTTTTATTTTATAATATGTATTTACTGTTCTAATTAGTCAGGGACTCAAAGAAGGTAAGGATGATGTGTTTAACATCACAACCTTTTCATAGAGTCCCTATCATCACTCATTATATAAACACTTTAATTTTTAAAAATAAAATAAAAATTCAATAAAAACAAAGCTCATATTTTTTAGTGTAACAAATTAAAAAACAAAAAATATTAAAAACAAGAAAAATAAGAAGAAGAAAAAATAAAAAAATAAAAAAATACTGTAAACAAATACTGTAAACTTTAAAATGTATGTCAGGAATTAAGAAGATGCATTTTAGTTTCCCGTTTAAACGATAAAATGCTTTTTAGGTCTTTAATATTTTTATTTTTGAAATGATTCCATATTGATGGGCCACGGTTTGTAATTAAAAAATTTGACTGATTTGATTTAATTTTCCCTAAGTGATATTTTTACCTGGTATTTGAACGCAAATTATCTTTTTCAGAAAATGATCTCAGGAAAATATCTGAAAAAACGC